AACAAAATCCTTTCACTGATGACACAATTGTAGCTGAAAGTAATCAAGCCAAGGAAAAAAGAAATGAATCAAGTGATAATGATGAGAGTACTGGGGAGGTTTCTGATGTGGTTCCAGAAACTGAATCAAGTGACGAGGCACTCTCTGAAGAGGAAAGTTCAGATCGGCAAAGCAAGAGTGTTGATGAGGATGCAGTTGAGTCTTGCAGACCAAGTCAACATGCAGAAGAGTTGAATTCTGACGAGTATTGCGAGCAAACATTGAGATATCTGGTTCACAAACACTTCATCTCATGGTGTACGATTTCTTCTTGTATTTATGAAGAGAAAAGGAAGTTTGGCTGAGTTCCATAGCTCAAAACGTTGTAAAGATGTGTTCGGGAAGATGCCGTTTTCTACCATTAGGGAAATTTAACTTTATAGGATGGAAGCATCTCACTAGTTTTTATCGGTTGGCATGGCACTACCCATATCCTGATAAAGGAATGATTGGCAGTTGCCTTGCCTGTGATGTGATGGAGAATGGACAATGTTCATGTCCTGTTCTTCCAAAGTCCTTTTATGTTTTTTGCAGACAAAAATGCTCTAGTTACTTTAATTTTAAGAAATGTGTCTCTTTTGATCATAGACCTTCTCATGGTTGTTTTGATTTTTTTTCACTGCCAAATATGTGATGAGCGGTACAAGGCATCCACAAAATATAAAAAAAACGATAAAAAAACGGTTTCCATAGCATGAAGCGGCCAGGAGTATTGCTACTCCCACTGGATGGGATGCAAGTCCATCGCAGATAATACCCCTCAACATTTGTTGCTGGTACTCATTTATACTGTCTATTGGGTGGAGAACTAGAGAATCACTGTGAGAGTTAAATGTCTTGTCCAAAAACCAAATGTAATGATCCTGAGATTTTATTTTTACAAGTATTCAACAGTTTAGTGTAAACATTGTCATATTGTGAGCATAAATTAATATATATTGGCATCTCTTTTCATTTAACCCCTTTTAAGACAACATATAAATTCTCCCCATTGGCCTAGCCTTAAGGGCTTAAAAGTGGGTTAAGTTGGGAAAATTACATAACAACATATACTTTTTTTGCAGTATAAACAGGAAAGTTTCTACTAAAATAATCTGCCAATTTTTAAATAGCAGATTAAAATTCGATAGATGGGACAACTTTGTCGCATACCACAAGCCTATGACATGAATTGTTTCATGTAAATCAAACCCTACAACTTGCTTACGATTATTGTGTACGACACGAAAATTGTTACTAAATGATTTTCAAATATGTTTAAAACCCTAGTACAACAAATTGTAGCCATGTTAAATAATGGCAGTTGTATACTATTTCTGCAGGACATGAGCAGATGGAGCGTGCTACAAAGGTCACATGCGACAAACTTGTACCATGTAAATCTGCCCTAAGGGGAATGAAACAAGAGGGTGCATGAATAACTAATTTATGTTGTTATATTCTTCTCACCCTCGTAGTATAGCCAAGTATTGAAATTGGCCTGTTATAGACTCTTCTTGTTTATGAGTGATAGTAAACTTATTTCCTTAACTCTGACTTTTTTACCATTACATTGCCACTTTCCAATAAGTTCTGTTTGATTTCACCAACAAGAAGTGTGGGGCAGAATTAATGTAGCAAACATTACAGTGGTGGGAAACCGAACACGTAAAAGCCGATGTCAACTCTTCTCTCACACTTCTCTTCAATTAGCATGCTAGACCATAAGTTACATTTCATTTATAGACATAACTTTAAACGGAGTGTTTCACAGTTCAGCGTATGTGTACGCTATGAAATAATCTAATTTGATTATAATAAGTGTTTATGAGCCAATCTGCGGAAGCGAGTAGATAAATCAGATGGGAAATTTGTCTGACCAAAATTCCCAGAAAATGTCAATGTTGACATTGTATTTAGTGTTGACCCATCAAACAGCCATCAAAATATATCCTTCAGCCAATAGGATTTCTTGTGAAGGCTGTGATGGTGGGCATGCATATAGCCGGCATTTAGTTGAATACTGACTGACCGTGACATTTTCAATTGGTTCATAAATACTTCAATTAAATGGGCTTACTTCATAGCGTGCACATGCGCTGAACTGTGAAACACTTACTTTAATGACAGAACATAATAATTATTATTTCCATTTACACTTGTCATATGAAAAACTTAAAAATTCCTGGATAAATAGTTATCGATAACAATTGGCCTAGTCTGTGGAGGCCCTTAATTACAAAAGTTTAAAGTGTACATAACATATATCATTCTTAGTTTTATTTGCTCAAGTGATAGAATCTCATGGGATACTGATATGAACATCAAAAAATAATTTATATTGTTTGTTCTTCAACGTATTTTAACCATCTAAAAATATCAAATTTCACTTCCGGTTGGGTCAAAAACTGTGCATATATAGTGGATAACTGGGCTAGTCGGGTTGTGACGTCAAAACAATAATGCTACCTTTGGGAATTTTCCTGTTTTCCTTTTGCTTTCACATTGCTGCAGCCTGCATGCACAACCACCAAAATCAAAAGAGGAAAAACAGGGAAATCCCGAAAGTAACATTATTTTGATGTCCTATCCCCACCAACCCCAGTTCTTGCACTGTGCACAGTTTTTGACCCAATAAGATCGGAAGTAAATTTGATATTTTTAGATGGCTATATATTTATAAAACGAGGTGAAGAAAGACAATATCCATTTTTTTAGAAGTTAATATCAGGATCCCAATGTAGATTCAATCGAGCCAATTAAAATATATATATATACATATAATAAATTAATACATATAATATATATATACATATTATAAATTTATAATAATCTGTAGAAAAGATATATGTAGCCTAAAAACAAACGTAACAAATTAGCAAGTTCATGCCCCCACAGAACAGATATGTACTCAAGAAACTTTAAATATAACGTAACGCAACCGCTACCTAGCAACAATTTGTAATTATACCGCCAGCATCTAAATGTAACGGTCATTCGTGTAATTGCCTGACGAGTGTGGTCATTTTTTGGCCATACAAAACAGAGCTGTAGCAATAAAGCGATGAATCACTACTGAAGCCTGTGAACTCTTCTATGATAATAGTCACTGCTCCTGCAAAGTTGAGCGCTCTCCGAAAACCGTTCTAAACAAGAAATTAGAATTTATATCATATATATATCTGTCATATACTAATACTATGTAGATAGAGTAATTTTACTTAACCCGTGAAATAGTTACAGTCAGTAGAACCCCGCTAACTCAAACTCCCAAGGGAAGAAAAAATAGTTCGAGATAGCGGGGGTTCGAGTTTTGCCGATAGTAAATGACCTGAAAAACAATTAGGGCAAGGGGAGTGGGTTTGAGTTCGAGATAGCGGGGGAGTTCGAGTTAACCGAGTTCGAATTAGCGGGGTTTCTACTGTATTATTATTAGACACTAATTATGTTGTTTTCTTGTTTAGATTTGACTATTAATTAATTTTAGTGCTAACTGTTAGATTTTGTTTCAAGGGTTAAATAAAATCACTCTAAAATAAATATCATCCACTTATGCACTTGTCACTTAATGAAACCCCACACTGGGTTCAAGGTGTGGATAATGTTGAAAGGAACTCCAAAGAGATGTTGTGTTCTCAAAACACAGCCTATCCCCAGTGCTTTTCCTTCAAAAATTAGAGAATTTTAAGAAAGTACCATTATTTACATGGGACTCAGTCTCTTTTCTAACTTGTGTTTTGAATTTACATATACAAAAGTGTCAGTAAGGTTGTAATAGCTCGATTTCATTTTGAACTTTTTGAACTTTTTGTGCTAACACGCCATAGACGTCAGTGCACAGTTGTCCAGTCTCATAATACGGTGAAATTGCGTCCATTTGACGTTGTTGTTTTGCAGACCGGACGGCTAAGAAATGTACCAATATGCAAAAACGCAAGTGCAGAGCCATTGTACGAGAACGTCACAAAAACAATAGGTGTAATTAGCAGTACAATGGCTTTGCACGCGTGCGTTTTACATATTGGTACATTTCGTAGCCGTCCGGCCGGTCCTGCAAAACAACAACGTCAAATGACCAATTTCACCTTATTTTGAGAGAACAAAGTTCTGTGCACTGACGTCTAGAGCGTTCTAACTCGAAAAGTTCAAAAAAAGTTCAAAATGAAATTTACACCGATGCAAAGCAAAGGTTGCTCTATGCATACGCCGAAAATTACCGTTTTGTTTGGTTTAGATCGCACGCAATTAACGTCTGCCTTTTCGCGCCCACACTAAAAGAGCAAACGCCGTTTCGAAGCAGCTCGACTTATTTTAAATAAAATCGTTGTTTATTTTACATATTGAACCCGTTTCTTTATTGCTTACAGCTTTCACAACATGGTTGACATGTTCATTCTACAAAAACTAAGTGGAGATCCCGTACCGTTTTCTTTGTGGCAATCCCTTTTCTGCATCAGCTATTGAACTTCATTGCTGACATGTTTTGAACGCGAGCGCTCTCGAGGGCGCCATCACCCAGTCTCACTCCGCATTAAACATCGCACAAGAGCGCAGTGGTCGTTTCACCGCCCCATCCATTCCAGCGCCCTGGGTGGGACCAGTAAATTCGCGTGCATGCAGGAACAATAATCAAGGGACGTCTAGTGTGGGCGTTTGGAAAAAACAGTTTTGCATTCATCGTCGAGTTTATTCCAACAATGAATAGGATGTCCGCTTATCTTGGTTATTAGGTTGGGTAAGTTTAACATGACTTCATTCTTTTGTTTCTATTCAATTTTTACATTGGGTTAGAGTCAGCTAATCATGAAATTCATAATGTACATTTAGTAATTTATACATAAGAGAGGTCGTGGACATTGGCTCAGTCAGATGGTTCCTGTTTTTAAGAAAATTCATTTTATGAGGCTGAAGAAATCTCGCCAGGGCTCTCTATAATTTAAAGAGAAAGGTGTTAAATAACTATTTTTGGCTTTCGACCACACGTCTCTGAAATGAAAGTGTAGTGCGTTATCATGCCCGACTAGTAATCTGGGAGACGCGGGTTCGAATCCTGCTCGGGACACGTATTTTTCTTTCATTTCAGAGACGTGTGTCGAAAGCCAAAAATATTTATTTACACCTTTCTCTTTATTTGTAACGCTTTCTTCGCTGTCGAAAAATTTCCTTTCAGTTATCTCATAATTTGTCACGTAGCAATTTGTGTTTTCTTTCATTTGATCTGGATCATGCAAAATTCCATCACGCGCCTGCACTACCAAGTCCTACGACATTATAAGTTGTCAAAATATATTTAAGATCAACATCAATACTAAAACCACCTATACAAACATTTTATCCAAAACACAAATTAAAAAAAACTAAATTAAAGAACTTAAATCCTGAATCAAATATTATACTTTCAAGTGTCACAAATTATTTATATTTTATTTTTGATGTTTGCCCGCGAAGCGGCTTGATAATTCATTACCTCTGTTAGTCCGATCATGGGTTTTGCCTTCGTTTTTCCTAAAATCACTCTAGGTAGCCCCTCGCTCATAATATAAAGATATACAACAATGGAAATAGCTTAGTTGTACTAAGATTTTTGAAAACTCGTACGGGGAAATATTTTAAATCAATAAATGCATTCATTTGCACATACATTCGAGCTGGTCACGCCAAGTCACGCTCATTTCCAATATTATTTTCGTCCTTTTCCGACCAGTATAATGGCTAGTAATTTTCACTTGTGGTGACTTGCATATTCAGGTAGTCTCATATCATTGTAAAGATTCGGAAGCGAAACAATATTTGAAATGTTTTGAAATACGTTCTTGTTCGTTCAGTGTTTACAAACCGAGTTAGCGGTAAAAAAACCGTCGTCAGGGGAGGGCGGGGGGCGGGGAAGGCTAATGTTGATAATTTCTCTTCAAAATTCGAAACCATTATTGAAGAACCTTCAATGCCATCGAGACATGGGAGTTGTAAAGTGAATCCACCTGAACAGAAACAGGGCAGGTACGAAGCAAAAATCCACACGACGCTATCTTTGATAAGCATCCGGACGGGTATATTTGAGACTGTTATCGTCGAATTATTTGAACAAGCAAATGGATTTCTGGTCGTATGAGTAAGTTTAATATGAAAATCACTATTTCGTTTCGTTTCCACAAAAACGAAATAACTTTGTTTTTGTAAAGGAAAATCGTTTTTGGACGGCGAAACTAAGCTTGATGCATTCCATTAAAATATAAACTTGTAAAAGTTTAGTTTGTGTTCAGTTGCCTCCGCCGTTCTGGATAATATGCGGATATTCCATCAGAATGCACATGGCTATTTTCGTCCTTTTCTGACCATTACAATGGCTAGACGTATTTTTGGTTGCAGTTACTTGGCATATTCTGGTAACCTCATATCATTGCAAAGATTCGGAAGCGAAACAATATTTCAAAATAATGTTCTAAAATACTTTTTCTTGTTCGTTCAGTGTTTACAACCGAGTGAGCGGAAAAAAACCGTCAGGGAAGGGGTGGGGGGGGAGGTAATATCGATGACCAGAAAAGCATTTATCTTCAAAATTCAAATACTTTTGATTTTCTACATTTATTCTTTACTTTTGGCTCCAAATCGTATATCTGATTATTAAACTGCGTTAAAGATGGCAATTCCTAATCTTCGATGGAAGCTTGTTTGCACAGTTTGAAGCCAAGATAGCGTATGGATTGTTTACCGTATGTTGTGACTTTGACGCGATGTATAACAAATTCCGCTGATCTTAAGAATGTACAGAGCCAGTTTGTTATGATATCAAAACATTTTCAAACTCTCCAAAATCAGATCCGAATTTATTATTTCAAACGAATCGTCAATTCAAGATAACCGTCCATTTGGTGGACGTGCTGCAAAGGCGTAGGCTGACGCATAATTATCAAGGTGTAATATATTGTAACGTTTAACTTACACCGTTGTAAGCATCGCCTGATATAATAACAAGGGGACTTATAATTTGCAGAGTTTTCTGATATTCAAACTTGTCCTACTTGCAAATTGACGGAAGGGTTCTTAAACGGCGTTAAGTCTGTCTATAAGCCTTAACTCTGGTTTCCATAGCATGAAGCAACTATGAAATTTACAAATGGTTGAACAGACAGAAAAGCAAGGTAATACAAGGAAGCCATTAAGATTCTGGTCAGAGTTTCACAAGTTTTTGTTTCGGTCCTTTATTTCTTTGCTCTCACCATATAGACTACGTAGCTGGCGATTTTCTCTTACGATCCCTCCTCCCCATTCCTCTCCCGCTCGCGTATTTTTCCATCACGCGCCAACCAACCGCCAGCTATTCATGCTACTCGTACAAAAAGCCGGATAAACAGGTTCAACTAACGTGGACTATATATAAATAAAAAGAAGAAATCCTCGCAAGTCGAATTACTCAGAAAAATCCTGAGTCCTCAACGGTAGTCGAACCCACTGGTTGGATGCTCTAACCACCATTCTTTCATTTATTCAAGCAACCATTCCACTGTATATATTAAAGGAGCTATGTTACGATATTTTAAGTCATTTTTGTGAAGTGCAAAATCACCTTCAATTGACGAAAGCCTCAAAATAACAGTTTACTAAGGTTAGAAAAACACCAAAGTGGTGATAATAAACGAAACAGGAGCAAGGATGGTTGAGGATGGGGAAGATTAAGACGGATTGCGAATGGCGAACTTGAAAAAATTGGCCAATTTTTTCAAGATGCGCCATCCGTGACGTAGCTCCTTTAAACGTGGACTGCTCCATAAAATGTTTACACAAGCACCGAGACAGCTTTCGCGATAATGGCGACATCACTGTTTGCCCAAGAGCTAAGAAGAGGTCACTGATGACATTTTTACTTAATTAGATATCGAATAAATGGGCTAATGAAATAAAGTGAGCCACTTCCTGTTGCCATTTCCAATTCTTCTAAGTCAAAGATAACCAGAAATTTAACCTGAAAAGAAATATAACGTGGAAAACTCCACGAGAGTTGGAATCTCGTGATAGTAAAAGTGACTGTCGAACTTAATTGTTCAGTTCATATATATTTGAACCATTTTTGCAGGTCTTACAATCCCAAAATTAAAAAATATATATATATATATATATATATATATATTACCGTCGGGTTACCGAATGCGAACAGAAAATAGTTCTCTAGTAACACGTTGTTTTACATTCCGATCATTTTTTGTTATCTGGGAAGAGTGCTCAACTACATCAATAAATCTCAATTAATCTCAAGTCAGGACTGTCGTCGTGAATGAAGATAAAATAACCGGTAGCTTTGCCATATATGTACAACTAGTATCCAGAAATACATCGGCAAGGGCCACATAATGTACCCCTCAATATGTTCAAGTGATTATGTGCAGCAAAAGCTTTATATTTTAAAATAAATATATAAAAATATTTCTCACATTGATTTCTCATGATCAATGACAGTTATATGATCCTCGGGTAGTCCCCCACTCCATCCCCCCTAATGTTTCATCCGCCCCTATATCTCATCAGTTGTCAGCATTACATTGCAACGAAATAGACAATTCTCTATGGACATGAATTTACTTGGGACAAAGATGATGGTAAATTCATGTCACTTTGTTGGTTAACATAGCACCTTATTTAGTATGCATTTCATTTCAACGGCCAGTGATTAACAGAAAACAATATACTTCCTCTAGCGCTGAAACGGAACTTATTACACAGCCACAATCCTTTCCTTATGTCCCTTTTAAGGAGACCTTGTAACTTTAACATAAATGAATTATGTTTAAAATAAAGGCGAAAACTAGTGCAATATGCGATGCTTGACTTGACAGCAAGTATTTTACTCGCTTTACTTAGCTAAGTTTTCATCTACAGGTAAACCCCGGAATTTTCGGTGGGGGTGTACGGGACGCGATTTTTCTTCTCCAATAGTCCAAAAGCCTTATTTTCCCACCTTCCCACCATTGCTTGGAGTCCCAGGTGGGGGTGGGGGGGGGGGGGGGGGGAGGGGGAGGGTGTTCAGGTTTCAGGTATATTAGTTAGTGACGGGGAGGTGCGAATGAGGCCCAAGAAGTCCAACTACAGACCCTACAAATGTCCAATGGCCCAGAACGTAACCAAAAAGTCCCTTAAATTTGTCTCCGCATAAAAACATAAGTGGTAACAAGAAACATCAAGACGGTACGAGATAGTTCATGCATCCACTTTTATTCCTTCATCATGCAGCTGTCAAAAACTTTAGGCAGACTGCAGTCATTCTTTCAAAGTGGGGAATTAACCATAAAAAAGTCCCTACAAAATCCTCAGTTCTACCCAAAAAACCCAACAGAAAATTTATATCCCTCAAAAAGTCTCCCCAAATCGCTAATTTCAAACCCAAATAGGCCTTCGCACCTTTCCGTCACTTATTTACCTGATTACACTCCTCCACCCCCCCCCCCCCCCCCCACCATCCCCACACACCCCACCCCCCACTTGACTTGGAGACCCACACCGAATAGTACTAGTGTTCATAACCATTTTTTGTTTTACATCAAATTGGATAGGTTGACTGACATATAACCGGTCGATATTTTTAAGAACAATGTCTCTTCATTGAGCTGGTGTTAAGGTCTTATAAGGTAAACGTTTTCTCAGCAGCAAGTCTTGGAATATGTGATTTTCATGTATACCATACGTTTGTATTCATGTTTGTAATATATTAACGCTATGCAATATTAATACTTTTTGTTCGGTCGGTGCTCAAAATTTGGCTCATTTTCATCCAGCAGTGATTTTACTAGTTTGTTTCAAAACCCGCATAAGGAAGTTCATGATAATGAAGATAAATTCTCCTAACGTCTTGTTGTACAAATTATACGATAAGCGGCAGGGAGAATTTAGATGTTGGCCTGGGGACATATTGATTACACTTAGATACTTGACCTTTTACTAAGCTGGGCCATTTCAAAATGGCATTGTACTATGCCAGCTTGCCTTAAAAATGCAACAAACACCATCAGGAGCCTGCCATCATGAAATAATTCTGGTATTTCTATTTTAACATATTCGCTGTACACTTAGAAA